AAGACAAAATGCGGACAATTATGTTCTAATGTAGTTTCACCATTGTAACTGCTGTGCAGTCCAGACATACTGATAAAATAGANCCCCCTGAAAAAAAACATAAGACCTTTTGAAAATTATAACTTGTTTTTAATGTAAAAGAAACCAAACTATTATTACATCAACTAAATTGAACAGTAATTCACATCTCATAACAAAATAAGCTAAGGCGACTACTTGCATTCGGTGACTTGATTTTAAAAATGAAAACCAGGGAAATTCTTTGTTTTGCGGTCCATATCTCATTAAAATATCTAATGTTAGTAACTATTAAAGACAAAATGAGGACAATTCTGTTCTAATGTAGTTTGACCATTGTAACTGCTGTGCAGTCCAGACATAGGCTACTGACCAAATAGGGCCTCTAACTTAAATAAACTCAATAATTAATGAAATCAGTTCAATACGCATTATTCTTATTCTTATCATTCTTTATGAGCGCAGTTAACGGTAAGGTATCTAATTACTTATTTATTTAGTATTCCATAACTTAATAACTGAGATGGTCAAACTGAAGATGAAAAGACACAGATGACAGAAGCACAATAACAAGTAGGCTATATTTAGGTGTTTTTTTGTAAATAACCGACAGTATCAAGAGGAAGTAAAGTCCCCTGGTTTGTCCCTTATACCCTAACTGCCATGAGACAACTCAAAATCAAGTTTCCAAAATCCGACACTGAGGTGGTCTTAGCGCACCGGCAGATGACAGCGCTGACAAAGTGTGTTTCCCGCAGCGAGACGCTACAACACTAATTGTGGGCTTATCATGTTGATTCGGCCACAACAGAAAAAAGAAAAACAAACTCTCGCTCTCTCCAGAGGGGCAGGTCAGCCAAAAAGGCCAAACGGGCCGTTGCCCGGGCAACATTAGCCCGTACCTGTGCACGTCCCTGATAGTAGCCCATATATGCCTGTCTATATCTGTCTGCATCATGGGAAATGTCAGATACAGTGTTTCTGAAGCTTGTTCTATACTAGGGACTTAAAGTCAGGACACCCACATCTTCTTTTTTTTATCAGTAAAAAACAGTTAAATAAAAATGCCCTCACAAGTTTTGAGACACTTTACATGCCTTTACATGCCGTGTCTGCTCCAAACAACCATTAAGAACAATTTCATTCTAATATTTATGAACACAGAAAAGCAGCAAATCGTAACACTTGAGAAGCGAAAATGGTTGCTGGTGTAACGATTGTGACCATACATCAATCAATAAATTGCTACAGCTCTAGCAGTATTATATTCCAGCACAACGCTCTTATCACACTCTTATCACATTCTTCATGAAAAGCAGCTAGGACATGACAATAGTGACACGGTCATTTTGTGTTCGTTATTTTGTGTTTTGTTTAAAGATTGTAGCTACATGTTTAAAATCTTATAATGTTAAAGGTAAGGCATTTATCAAGACTTGGGCTCCACCATGATCATCCATTTGGTTTAACACATTTCTCAAATGATGCTCTGGCACAACAGGCAGCGTGTGGACACTTGTCATCAAGCAGTCGTACACACACTCTTCATTGGCTATTGTGTCACCATGTCATGTTCTTTCCCCTCATAAAGTCCCTCTGAGCTCCTTCAACAGTAACATTTATTTGTAATAACAACTCTTGAGTGATGAAACATCAATTCACTTATTTATTCAATTGAATTTGATGGTGTACGTCCACCTCCCAGCTTAGATTGTGTTCATTATCCTCCTCAGTGTGTTTGAATGCCTGCCTGAATAAATGAATACAAATCAAGGATTTATTTTTTCCGTCATCTTGGTGTTTATGCCTACTAAAAGCCCATTTTCAGCAAACAAATTAGATCCACTCTAAAGCTGGATTAAAGAGTATTCTGAACCTGTTTTCTTTTCTTTCCTATTTGGGCAGAATATATTTTGTAACTGATTGTTTTTAAATCCAGAACTAAGGATGTCCAGATTAAGTTTATTAAAAGAAAATTGCCCCAATCTGCTTTATTGTTGATTCAAAAAGTGTGTGTGTGTGTGTGTGTGTGTGTGTGTGTGTGTGTGTGTGTGTGTGTGTGTGTGTGTGTGAGANGCACATTCAAAACGCCTTTCTGCTGAATTTTCATGTAGTCTAAAACTTCATATGCTCGGGGGACACTGTAGCAATAGGCTGCTGAGAAGCATCTGGAAAAAGCTCAAATGTAACTTTGATATGTTCTATATCTTAAAGGGGACCTGTTTTGCTTTTTGGGGTATTCCCTTTCTTGTAATGAATTTCTATAAGTTTGTTTGTTTGTAATGGTCTTGAAAGGCTAAAATCCCAGAGTTCCCTCCAGAGGGAATTTCTCTCCCACACACTCCCCCCTGCCTGAAACGCCTCAATATAATTAGCTTAAAATGAGAAAATCCAATCCCAATCTAATTCTACACATTTTCTATATCATTTGATAATCCAATTGGCTCTTTTTCAAATAGGGAAGCACATTTTTTTTAATAGCTAAACTGTTCTATAAGTTTTCAGCCGGTTTTAAAAATGTTGGTTATCAGGTTTGGATTTGATACATCTAAGTTTGGGTTGCTGTCCTGGGCCCCCCTCTACTTCTCCCTTTGTCTTCCCAGTGACCTCTGTGGTGTGGTCAGCAGTGGGCTAGTCTCTGACTCAGCAGCACCCTGAGCTGCCCTCATCTGTCTCTCTCATTAGCAATCAGCCACCCTCCTCCTCACCTCCTCTTTCCTCCTTCTCCTTCATCTCTTTCTCCCCCCGCCCCCTCTGCACTATCCACCAGAGACTCTAACCTCTCTTCCCTCCCACAGTGTGATGCCGTCTGGGCCAGGGGCCAGCATATATGTGTGTGAAAGAGGAAGAGAGACACCTTGGCTGGGTCAGACAGACACACCCCCATAATCACCGCAACGACCCAGCTGCTGCATCGCACTTTGATATCATTGCTGTAACCTTTACTTGTCATTATCGTAACCTTTTTACATAGCTGTCATTTCCGCCACCAGTTACACTTGCAAGCCGGGGCCTGGGTAATGCACCGTCAGCTTTTGTAGTGCCGAAGGGCATGTTTAAACCGTAGCGCTAGTTGTTTTCACCTTGCTCTGTTTATGTTGGCAGCAGCTATACGCTCAGGCCTATTGTAAAAGTACAGAGAGTGTTCAGCCTGTTGGTCTGCCAACATAAAGGATCAATTCAGTTTATCACAACTTGGGTCTTGTTTTTGTACTTCCTGCCATCATTTCTATTGGCGACCATAACAACGCACTCTATGCTTTTACAGTGACACTGATATCTAAAAGGGGCTGATGGTATGGCACTTTTATTTTACACTGCTGTTTTAGTGGCTTGTGGCACACAACAGTATGTAACTTGGGTTCCACAAGGACACGACCACTGTCCACTACTTCGGTCCGGCCTGAAATATTTCGCAATCAGCATTATTGGTTCGATTACCATGACGTTCTGTTCACATATTCATGAATACATGAATCCTACTCTTTTCGGTTATCTTCTGAATATTACTGAAGCACTGTGAGCCTAAGAAGTATCTAGACATTACCCAGAGGAGCTGTATGTGAGATCTGTAATGTCCCAATCATTCTGACCAGACATTAAACAGACTTTATGCTACTAGGTTCAGAGTACAAAGTAAGTGTAATAATGTCCATATTAGCCCCAGCAAATAAGACAATACTGTATTGTCATACTGGTCCTGTGTGAGGTGTAATTGTTCCTTTTGGTTTAGTTTACCCACACTTGAAAATAGATTATAGGACTTCTTTGTGTCATTATCCTTATTTGCACCATTGTTACCTGTTACTCCTGTATCCAGGTTTTGTGGCTGTTCTGATCAAGTCTTAACATTTCTACCTTTTTAATTGTCTGATGTATCCTCCCCATTGGACTAGTAACATCAGTAGGTTTCCGGACCTCAATAATTACTTTTGTACGTATAGTATTTACAAGTATTTTTAGCACAATACTAATGGCCAATCAGTGACCTCATGAAGGTGGCGTCAACTTCAGGTCTTGCAGTAGTGGGAAGCATTGTACTTTGTGAGTCTTTGCTGTCAATCAGGCCTGAGACAGAAGTTCTCCTTAACACTTCAGAACCACTCTCAGAGGAAAAGGAAAGTGGAACATTCTGTTATTGTTGACAACCAAACCATCAAAAGTTATCCAGTAGCCCACTAGTCAATCAGTGGTTAATATTACCCAGAGGAGCATCACTTAGAACTTGGAGGCTGTGTTGATCCATCTTTGGGAGTGTTATGTGGAGTTCTCTTACAAGCCATGAGCTAGTACGGTGTCTTCACATAATATATAATGCCAGTTTGTGTTTTGGCGTCTCTCGGTGATACCGTTTGAAGAACCCAGAGATTGCCTTTGGGAGACAAAATTGCTGCTGTGTGAAGTACATATCAGTACAGTAGGAAACAGGCTGTCCTCCAGCTCGAGGGCATGTTCTGTCCCCTGGTTCAAGAGTCTGTAGTCCAACTAAAGAGACATCAAAGTAAAGTTAGCCAC